AAAGAATTCACTAGGTAAATCATTCATGCTATCAAAGCTATTCTCCCAGACAACACATGATTTGTTAAAATTCTCAGAAGATGTAAGAGCAGATACAATTATTAAAATGAGAATATTACACTAAATTGGAATTGGAGCCAACATAAACAGTAAATTTTTTTTCAACATTTGATTTTTGAAAAAGCTCTTAAAAAATTTACAAAAGGTATCTCCCCACTCATTCTCTATCACACACTTTGGAAAGAAAATCATTCTGAAGTCAATATAATTTGGGGTCTAGCAGGAACTTGGCAGAGAGGGATAGAATTTTTAACACTGGCATTGGAGAATGATCTCATTCAATGGTAATCATTTACAGATATTCCTGCATTGCCAAATGAGATGGTACTCTGCCTTCTTAGACCTTCCCCATCAATAAGGAATCTATGGGATAACTTTAACTTTTGCCCTAAATTTAAGAATCAATCCTGAAACAACTGTAGCCCATAAGAAGTTATTACTCCTCTATAAAGTTCATAAAAGCACAACCACCAACAGATTTAAAAAGTCAAATTAACAACCATTTCTGTGACCTTTCCAACCATCATAATTATTACCTGAGGGTGGATGGGGAATTTTATGAAGTGAGTTTCACAGTTCTCTTTTTTTCTAATGATAATACCACTCATTTATTATAGAATTTAAATAGAAAAAAGGCTTTAATAAAATTCAAATCACTTGTAATCCCACTGTTTGGAAATAACACTGTTTACATTTCTTTTCCATGTCTATTCCTTTATAAAGTAGCTGAGATTAAGATTCTATATGCTAGGCCAGAGCGAAAGCATAGTGGGTAGGGAGCTTGCCTTGCATACAGCTGACCAGGTATAAACCCCAGCACCACATATGATCCCCGAAATGCTGTCAGTAGTGATACCTGAGTGCAAAGTCAGGAATAGTCCTGAGCAATGAAGTATAAACTTGGAATATTCCAAAGTACCATACAGAAGATCACAGAGACATCTGTGCCTAAGGACAAGATATAGCCTGATGAAGAAAAATCTGGCCCAAGAATCTGGTCTCCCCACTGGGTTCAGAAGTCAGGATGCCCAAGTATCATTTCCCTCACAGGTATATACAATCTCAGCACTAGTATCTCCCTGGACTTCCTACCTGGGCCTATAGAAAACAGGTCAGTGAGAACTGGAAGACCATCATCACTGACTCACTGTTACTCTAAATTCCTGTACTGGGACACTGGATGTCCACGTCTAAAATAAAAACGCTCTTCTGTACCATCAGGTCTAAGGAAAGATGGACTCATGCAATTCACCATTACAATTCACCATTAAAAAATGGGACTCCAATGGCAATGATAGTTGGAAATGAATTGAGTGAGTAGGTAAAGGGATATATATATGTATATATATATACATATATATATACATATATGTATATATATATATATATAACCTGTCAGTACTTGTTTTCAAACCATAATGCTCAGAAAGGGAGGAGAGAGAGAGAGAAAGAGAGAGAGAGAGAGAGAGAGAGAGAGAGAGAGAGAGAGAGAGAGAGAGCCCCACAGAGGCAGGTTGGGTGTGGGTGATGGATGGAGATGGTGGCGGGAGGGAAACTAGGGCCATTAGTGATGGAAAAAGTACATGGGTGAAGCATCCTATGACTGAGTCCAGTCATGTACAATTTGGTAGCTGTGTATCTCACAGTAATTCAACTAAAAAAAATTTTAACTAGAAAAGAAACAAAGTAAGAGAATAATAAGTGACCAACAGGAAGAGACCCTCTGAGTCAGCTACAGAACTGAGGTGCCCACAGGGTGAGGCTGGGAGAAAGGTGTTGAAATATTAAATGCCTGAAAATCTATTTATTGACAGTGTTGTAAATCCTAGTGTGTAAATAGACTCTGGAGAAAAAAAAAAGTTCTTCACACTTAACCCTATTCTTACCATAGTCTTATAAAACATTTTTAAATATTGTCGTCAGTGTGATGTTTCTCAACAGAGCTGTTCAGCAGAAATTTAAAAAAGAAATCTACTCTGGTAATAGTATCTATCACAGTACCTAAACATATCTTTTCACACTGAAGAATATTAACTATAGATAATTCCCATAAAAACAATTACCTAAAAAAGGAGAATGTTTGTCCTAAAGTGATATTAAAACAATACAAGTCAATGAGGATACATCTGAATAACTTCAATTTCTCGTATGTCCGTATCTGAAAGGTCTCTTGGTTAACCATACATATGTGTTTGACAATTCTTGAAAATGAAACAGAATGACCTAAGGTAATCATTTACCTTATCACTCAAAGTAGCCATTCTTTAACTTCTAATTCTTGCGGACCTAGCTATTAACCTTACTTTGCCCCTCAAAGTCAACAGTACTTTATCTTATGCAATAGTATCCTGTCTTTACTAGACAAAGTCAAGCGCAGAAGAATGGAAGTTTCAACAGTGGCTCTATTACATCACGGTGGTAAGTCATTTCAATGGAAAGGGCTGGAAAGTTTTGCAAAGAAAATACACTCCCGTAAGTAATGACACCATTGTACTTGAATCTCGTGTGAGATCGTGAATACACTGCACCTATGATTAAGACAGATTCTATATTCTGGCTATAGAAGGACAATGAAAAGAGTGAGATTATGAGAAGCGACTCATTTTCAAAGAAAAGCATCCATCCACTCCAAGGGAAGAAAATCCAAAAGCATCCCGATACACTGGCTCCATCTAGATCCCAGATTGTAGCAAGAATGCCCAGGCCATGCTCTAGAGAACAAGGAATGATCCAGAACAGCAACAAAGACACAGAATCTCATTTAGAAGGTTGTATGTTGGACACGGGTATGTTTCTCTTTTTGAGCCTTGCTTTGAATTGTAATATGGTTCATGTTAAAGGTAATACAAGGAGCTGCAGTGATAGCACAGCAGGTAGGGCGTTTGTTTGCCTTGCATGCAGCTGGAAGAAAAAAAATTGAGAATTAAAAAAAATCTCTTTCATCTATAGGACATATTTGGACACAGAGTTTATAGGGTAGTTATGGTAATGTTAAACAGTAATACTTTGTTGCCCAGTATGATCATAAAGTGGAAAACATTATCAAGTAGAGATCTGGCCTGTTCTGGGGTTCCAGGGTCACGGTAATAGGGCTCGAAGACTCAGTACCTGTTCCCCACGAGGTTACATTCGAAAGGAAATGTATTTGAAATAGCATGAGCAGGTGAGAGCTCTGAGATATTAATCATTAGCACAGCCTGGCCCACCTAATTAACTCATTGGTGAGCTACCTCCTGACTTGTGCTGAATAATATGATCTCATGGGGTAACCACTAAGTTAGTTTTAATTACACAGTTCATGGAGACAAGTGACCTTTATCTTTTCTTGAAAGATGGGCTCCCTATCTAGTATGTAAACAGTGATTTTCGGATTATTAAATCTTCACTTCTTGACCAATCAAGCAGGAAAGGCCGAGCAGTCCCGTGCACGAGAGAAGAAGAAACAAAGAGTCCTGAGTTAACAGATCTCCAAGAATCTGATTTTTGCACACTTAATGCAGCAATCACACCGTGAGCAGTAAAGCCACCTGATGATACACTTATTCTGATGCCCCATGTTTCCTACGCACACCCCAAATTACACACAGAAATAGTAATGCCGTTATGCCATTTGGGCTGGACCATGTAGGAGAATGATTTTCAGGCTCTTTCATAATCATCCTTATTTTCAAGACTGTTCTTAGGACTGTAAAATTTTTTCATTTTAGTCTTTATAGGCATCAGGATACACTATCAGTTTATGTCCGTGTCTCCCACTAAGATCCCTATTGTCTATATTTAGAAGCATCCCACTGAAGAATAAACTTATGGAAAACATCTAGATGTTAGCGATCAAAAGATTGTTGATTTCCAAAAATCAGCCTGATAACAGAAATGCAACTAAGAAGAGACAGATCATTCACTCACACTGAAAACACTGTCATGTTTGTTTGATATTTAAAGAAAAGAAGGAAGGAAGAAGGGAGGAAGGGGGGAAGGGAGGAAGGGAGGAAGAGAAGAAGGAAGGAAGGAAGGAAGGAAGGAAGGAAGGAAGGAAGGAAGGAAGGAAGGAAGGACTTTCTGCTTTAAGAGGAAAAAAAATACCCCTATATCCATTTCCTCCCAATGATATTTAAAAGAAGGAAGGAAGGGAAGGAAGGAAGGAAGGAAGGAAGGAAGGACTTTCTGCTTTAAGAGGAAAAAAAAATACCCCTATATCCATTTCCTCCCAATGATATTTAAAAGAAGGAAGGAAGGAAGGGAAGGGAAGGGAAGGGAAGGGAAGGGAAGGGAAGGGAAGGGAAGGGAAGGGAAGGGAAGGGAAGGGAAGGGAAGGGAAGGGAAGGGAAGGGAAGGACTTTCTGCTTTAAAAGGAAAAAATACCCCCATAATCATTTCCTCCCAATAGTGTAAAGCATCCAGGTAAACTAGTGGTAAGCTAGTCACAGTTTCACTTCAGATTCTTCTCTAATGAAGTCTATGTGGAGAAGCGCACAGGGCCCTAGTCCTACAAGTCTAGATAACATACATGATAAATCACCTACAGAATTTGGTAAACAGTAGGCAGTCCTGGGATGGGCCCCAGAATCTGCAAGTAAGAAACACACAGGACAAATTCCTTCTGAGGCAGGAAGCTAGGAAACACTGCTCCTCTACCATTAAGGGAAGGACAGGATACCTTTATAGTAAAAAAGAGAAAGAAAACAATTCCAAAGGCAGGAGAGATAGTAGAGCAGGCAGGGCACTGGTCTGACAGGTGGTCGATCAGCCCCAAAAGTGATCCTTGAGCACAGAGCCAGGAGTGGAGCCCTCCACCACCACAGGGTGTGGTCCCCAAACCAAATATAGAAAGAAAGAAAAATGAATCCAGTACAGACTGGCAATAAAGTAATCAAGCCCAATTGGCCTAATTGGAATATTCTCTTTTTGGTCCACAAAGACCAGGGCTGGGTCGTGCTTACCCAGACAGCGGTAGGGGATCACAATGTGGGCATGGGTCTTGCATTGTTTGCGTCCCCTCTTGCACCAGTTCTGGATGGTCACGGGTTGGTTGGCTTCCACCACGTTGGTGATCTGCAGTTCAGGGTAGACCTAGGAGAAAAAAACACAAAGGGTGTGTGGTTACAGCCAGGGCTACCATCGGCCACTACTGTTAGTCCATGGGCTTGTTGTTCCCCAGCATTCAAAGTAGCTCTCATTTTGATCAAGCCAAAAGAATTCAGGACCCGGGAAATAATAAAAGTGACAAGAGCCTGCACATTTCCTTCGAAATATTAAGCAAAGCAACTTTTTATTTTCTTTTACTATACCCGTTCAATATATAGGGCTGGAGCAATAGCACAGCAGGTAGGGCGTTTGCCTTGCACGCGGGCGATCTGGTTCGATACCTCTGTCCCTCTCAGGGACCGGGCCGGCAAGCTACCGAGAATATCCTGCCCACACAGCAGAGCCTGGTAAGCTCCCTGTGGTGTATTCAATAAGCCAGAAACAGTAACAGGAAGTCTCACAATGGAGATGTTACTGTTGCCTGCTTGAGCAAAATGATAAATGATGAACAATGGGAGGACAGTGCTACAGTGCTATACCCGTTAAGGCTTTATATGGTCTTGATGGAAATCACATTGAAAATAGAAAAGTACCCCTTTGATAAGCAAACTGATGTGTAGATGATATTCCATAAACTACTAAATAAAGTCTATAGTAAATGTCTTGCTTGAATGGAACCCGCTTCTGTCTTCCTCATTTAGGTGAACGTTTTACAAACAGAATATGTCACAAAGTAAGCCTCCCGTATAAAAATGCTCCTGCTTACTCAAAGTGATTCATACAACATAATCCATCAGTTATCATCTGGGTCATGTAAAGAATTGTATTCATAAATCTCTTTCCTTGTTAACTATAGCCAGTGCTTTGATTGCTGTTCTCGGTAAATGTTGGTGTTTACAGAGCACTTGAAATAAAATGTGAAAGCCAGATCAATTGAAATATATTTGTGACACAGCAAATCATGTTTACTTATTAACAGCGATGAGTAGAGATTCAAAGTAAAAAGATAAAAATTAAAAATTTATTTCTAGCATGCAGTTTTCTTTGACTAAATCTTGCATTTTGCCAGAGGGCCTATTTTGCCAAATAAATGAAGAAAAGAAGCATAAAAGAATTAAGGGTATTAAAGTAAGAAAATGGTCATAAAATCTAAAATGGGAATGTGAGAGGTGGCAATCCCTGGTGTGGAATACAGAATTCTGACATAAAAGCCCCAACAACAGTGAGGTAGAAAAATTTGAACTGGTACAGCTTCTAAGAAAAACAGTATGAGATTCTTAAAAAAAAAAGAAATGAAAATACCATATGGTACAGCCACACTATTTCTAGCCATTTATCTGAAGGATATGAAAACACTAATTCAAAAGGGTGTTTATGCCCCTAGGCTCATAGCAGCACTAACATGATTTGTAATATCAAAAATATAAAATCAACCTAAATGCCTATTAACAAATGACTAGACATAGAAGCTACATTATAAACACTCAATAGAATTCTATTCTGCCATTTAAAAAAAAAGATGATGAAATAAAATAAAGACAAAAAAGAATGTAATAATGCAAAGTGAAATAATGAAGTGAAATTCAGAGGATGGTTTCATTCATATGTGGAATATAAATAACTAAAGCAAACGAATTGGTAACACTCGAAAGGTTAAACTATGAAAACAGTAAATATACAGAGGTTGCACAGAAATAGGAGAAAGTATTGATGAGCAGGAAGGTAGGCTGTTTATGATGGTGAAACTATGTCACATGTCACCATCAGAGTGAATGCATGCCATTTTGCATTAGTCCATTTGCATGAACAACACCCAAGAGTGACCCCTAATGGGAACTAGAAACTTGGGGTGATAATCTGCTGGAAGATATTGATAATGGGGTGATTATACATATGCTGAGACAGGACGAATACAGGAATTTTCGGGCAACTTTCCCTCCATTTTGCCGCAAAACCAAAACTACTCTAGAAAATAGCTGTAAAAAAAAAGTTAAAGAAAAATAAAAGCACTTATCATTGTGGTATATGGTGAAATCAGTGGTTTCCCATATGCCACAGGACCACCCAAAACTGACCTTTGTTTCTTGTTTTGAATTAAAGAAACACTTTAAATTATTTTTTTAGAGCCATGATTTACAAAGTTATTGATAGCTGAATTTTAGGCATAAAATAATTCAACATCAATCCCTCCAACAGTGTCAACCTCCTCCACCAGTGCAAAAAGGACCTTTAAACCACATCTTGTGAGGGTTATTGATAAGTTAACTAAAGCAGTGCTATCGAATAGCACTGCCAGCAACCCATTCCAGATGGATAGAGACACTTTCTCTCTGTTTCATCCTGTGAATTAGGGACAGGAGCTGCCACACTGTGCTCAGGAGCTTTTGGGATACCTCCCAGTGATTCTCAACCAAACCAGAGAATGAAGTGCTGTTTGAGCCCTATGGAGCAGAAGACTTCCTGACCCACCCCAAGGCCCCCCTCAGGATGTCCCACGTTGCACCCAGTGATGCTCAGGGAATCACACAATGTCAGGGATTGAACCAGGGCTTGCCACATGCAAGGCAAGTACCTAACCACTGTCCTACCTCTCTGACTGCTAAATTTTATTCCTAAGCATCTCACCTTCTCAATGCATGCATTTCTGTCACAAATAACCCACAATTTAAAAATGTGAGTAAAAATGCAATATTTCTGCCTTTTTTCCCCCATCATCCTATGATGAAAGGTGAAGAGTCTCTTTCTACAGGAACATAATTCTCCTACCACCTTTCCTTGTTTATGGTATCACAAAACTCCAGTCCTTATGAATCATAAATTCTATGAAACAGAGAGTGTGTGTCTGAGAGAGACTTTATTCACCATCAAGTGTGAGTTACTGCATTTTGCTAAGGAGTAGTTCTCCCTGCCACTTTGCTGAAATACTACCCTGCTGAGAATCTGCTCAGGTTTCAGATTTCAATAAACCCCATGGTAGGTACAGTGAAATTCCATTTTCTTCTTTCTGATTCAAAACCCCAAATCTGCGTGTATGATGCCTATTGATGAAAAAGGATCTCTTATTCGTGATGTCTACCAAATTCAGTCTCTATGATAATAGCTGGTGTAACAGCAGTAACTCCTGTGGTAGGCAATTTTCTAGCAGATAGAACTGTGTCCTGATAAACTCAATGGAGTGAAGGACTGATTTCTCCCCTAACCATCAGTAGAATATTGCACTGTGATCAGAGCCAGAATTTGGCTCCCATTCCCAATGGGAGTGTGCTATTTCCTGTGCTTCAATTTCTTTCCCCAGAAGGTAGACAGTTAACTGTAAATTTGTGGATCAGAGGAGTAGATTATATTGTTTATATCATAATACATTTAAATTTGAACTGCTCAAATCCTGCGCAGTTTGCTAAAAGCCCTCACCCCCAAAACAGTAAGAATCTCAACCTCATCCAGTTACTTTTATTCAGACACCAGAGTTAGTAATTTAGATTTACCAAAGACAATACAATGTTGCCATTCCAAAATAAGAGCACTTATTTCAGAATAAGGAAGTTTGAATTATCAACAATCAAGACAATGAAGTTTCATCTGAAGCTTAGCAAGTTCTAGTAAGTCAATGTGATTACCTCACTGACTCATAAACAAACCCAAAACAGAAAAAACAATCACAATAAAAAATATTAAAATTTCTTACAAAATTTCTTACAAGTCCTAGACCTGTTTTTTTTTAAAGCAGTACCAATATATGACCAGAGATACACAAGCATTGCAGGTTGCAACATAACATAGCCGATTGTTTTAGGTGATAAAAAAATTAAAATACACACACATGTGCCTGAGGCCAGTTAAGTGCTAACACTGTAATTCACCATAATGAATTACAAATTTTTTGGGGGAGAAATAGTACAAGGGTTCAGGTGTGCACGCTGCATGTGGATTCCACTGAAGCCCTGGCACCATATATGGTCCCCAGAGTGCTAGCAGGAAAAACCCTGAAGTACAGAGCTAGAAGTGGTCTTGGGCACATTAAGTGGGGCTCCAACACTCCCCACTCCAAACTACAAGTCCCAGACCAATGGAGAATATATTTTCTTTGTGGAACCTCTGATCATAAAGGAAGGAAGATATCCAAGTTCCTTGAAGTACTAAATTTGCAAACTTTAACCTAGACATTGGTGTACTGCTAACACAACAAGCAACACAAGTCATTTACAAACATAGCCAATATTGGTAAATCTCCATGGTACTCTCCTTTTCTAAAATATTTCCGGTTGTGAATATGTAGATTATCAGAAAAACATTTAGGCAACTATCGTTAGAAAATAAAAACTTAAAGCAGAAGCAAATCCATGCTTGTGTCAGATACCTAAAAAGTAAACTACCCCCAGATCCTGCAAATCTTTCTAAATAACAGATACACAGAGCAGATGTTAAGTTATGCATACTGTGCTCCAAACATACTCTTAACTAAGATTCTTACAATACCACTCTTAAAGGTCCCCCATTCCCATCCTTGATACTGGCAAAACCCCTCTTTTTGAGTCTAATATGATGTGACTCCCTTTCATCCTTCAGAAATGCTTCACGGTCTTTATGTCCTGTGTGCCTCACATGTGTGCTCAGCACACATGTACCACAGTCCTGGTGAAAAAAAAAAGACAAACACTTTCTGGGCTGGAGCGATAGTACAGCAGGTAAGGCATTTGCCTTGCACGCAGCCGACCTGGGTTCAATCCCCAGCATCCCAAATGGTTCCCCAAACACTGCCAGGAGTAATTCCTGAGCGCAGAACTAGGAGTAATCCCTGAGCATTGCTGGGTGTGAATCAAAAAAAAAAAACACACACTTTCTATCAGGACATGAAACCCAGTTTGTTGCCTTGTTGGGTCCTTCTAGAGTTCAAGACTCTTATCTTTAAGGCATCAGGAGACTGCCAAACTCTAATTCTCTCTGGAGTTCAGAAGAAGGACTCAGCATTGACCACATTTCGACTTTCTGCTGGAGGAAAAACAAACTGGAAATTGCCTTCTCTTCCCGCAAGAGTCTGTAAGTAA